ATAGAGCAGGGTTGAGAAGACCTCAACTTAGCAAAAACCCTGTACAAACCCTTTCTTAAGTCTGTTCTTTTAGCAATGAAAAGTAAATTGCATACTAAAAAGATTTAAATCTCTTTAAGCAAGCAAAATCTAGTGCTCTGGTATCAAACCCACTAGAAATATTTAAAGTAGAGAGAGAGCTAGTGTGACAGAGCTGCAAGGATGTGTTGTGTTCACTTGTTCTTATTGGATAGGTAGATTTACCTTAAAGTGGTTTCTACCTCAGTGCTTAGTGTTCAGGGCAGGTTTCAATGGATATTACAAAACGAGTCACTGTTGAAATTCTCTCACTGCAGTGGAAGAGCAAGTTTGGGGTGTGTCTGCAATGTATGGTTCTGATTTCAGTGGTGAATGAATTATTGCTCAATTTCGTCTGTTGCAACTTTCAGCTTGCGGAAAGAGCATTTCAGTTCAGAAGTCTGTCTGCTTAGCAAAGAAAGTTGTCTTGGTTCATGGGTGAGTGCAGGGATGTTAAATAGGTTTTGGTGGTACTCTGTGGTGCCAAGAGAATAAGGCTTTAGTGCCTTTTTATTTAAAATACGGTTTTCAACCATAATGGGACAGTTGTATGTCAGTTGATACATGGCTTGCTTGTACATAAGGACAAACCACAGCTTACAGAGCTGTTGGTGTTCTGGAAGGATGCAGGCTTCTGTGTGTCAGCACAATTTCTCCATAGTGAAATTCTTAAAACTGAAAATTTTTCCTTTTTTTTTTTGTGAGGGAAGTATGGCAGTGAGGGTGAAGGTTACATAGGGTTGTAAAGAGGTTTCCTGAAAACTTGATGCCTCCTAATTACCAATCGCACCCTTCTACCTATCTCTTTGTTCCACTTGTGAAGAAAGGAAAGGGCTGAGGGAGAGGTAAGCCATAACTTAACATGATGTGAGAAATACCCTACCTGTTTGAGACCACTGGCACGAATATGGAAGAGCCTGCAGATTTTGTAAGCTACTTCCATTACTTACATTTAGATGCGAAGAGACTGTACAATGCTACAGCCAAAGAGGGCTATAGAGACATTAGAGCATATTTATCTTGATTGACTGTTAACAGATGAATCAGTGTAGCTTCCACAGGGTATGGGTACTGTAGACCACAGGTATTCCCAGTGTTGTAGGACAGTGTCGTGATTTAACCTGGGCTGGCAGCTAAGCACCACACAGCTGCTCACTCACTCCGACCTCCTCCGCTGCCCCGGTGAGATGGGGGAGTGAACCAGAAGGGTAAAAGTGAGAAAACTTGCAGGTTGACATAAAAGCAGTTTAAAAAAAAGTTATAATAAGAATTGTAAAGAAAAGAGGGGGGAAGATAACGGGGGGGGGGAGGACACACACACACGACACGGACCAAGAAAGACAAGTGATGCAGATGAAAACAGTTGCTCACCACCAACTGATGGATGCCCAGCCAGTCCCTAAGCAGCGGCCCCCCCACCAACTTCCCCCTAGTTTTATTACTGAGCATGACATCCTGTGGTACGGGATATCCCTTTGGTCACTTGGGGTCAGCTGTCCCAGCTGTGTCCCCTCCCAGCTTCTTGTGCACCCCCAGCCTACTCACTGGTGGGGTGGGGTGAGAAGCAGAAAAGGCCTTGGCTCTGTCTAAGCACTGCTCAGCAGTAACTAAAACATCCCTGTATTACCTACACTGTCTACAGCACAAATCCAAAACATAGTCCCATAGTAGCTACTGTGAAGAAAATTAACTCTACCCCAGCCAAAACCAGCACAGACAGCCAATACAAATGTAAATACATTTCACTTTGTAGATCAGTTTTAAAGCAGTATGAATTGTAGTTCAAGATCCTTACTGAGGTTCCTGTACCTGAAGGCTCTGAGAGGTAAAATTAGCTGTTGTAAAAAGTTGGTATCCACTTTGTTTATAACAACAGATACTTTCAAAATGTCAGTTTAGTTTCTTACAGTTATGTTAGCTGACTTGACGTTATGGCAGTTCTTGGGATGCGGCTTTCTCTGGTCCTGCTTCCAACTCCAGATGACAGCATTTCCATATGATGCATTCAGCCTGGACTTCTAAGAAGTCTGTGTTATTTTCAAGTCTTCTGAATTAATACTACATGTATCAATATAGATACACACGGTAGTTCTGAAGTAATATGCGAACACATATAAAGTAGTAGGTGAACACATGCAGACCAACTCCCAGGCTGGCAGCTCCTTGAAATGTCCCATAAGCTGGAGACTTGCAGAGGCTCTGATGCCGCGTGGAGGGACAGGTGGGCAGAAGTTCATTGTCGCAAGCTCATTGTCACGAGCAAGGCTCGGATTTCCCAAGTGCAGTGCTGTGTCCTCCAGGCGACTTAGAGGCACTTACAGGCCATGAAGTTAGTAACAGAGGCAGTCTGCTGTTGCCATCAAAACGTTTTTGTTGTTCATTGGTTTTGCTTAAGCTGTGTGGGTGGTGTAACTTTTACTTTGGCTAACTTCTATCGCATTGCATTTCCAAAGATGAAGGTGATACTGGAGTAAATAACATCTGTTAGTGATGGGTCAAAGTTATGGCTTAGTTCAGGGGAGGGGTGGGGAGAGAGAAGACTATTAGTAGCTGCTGTTGCATCATTTAAGACAAGTGTTTTTTCTGGAAAGTCCTTGTTAAATCTGGATGACTGCTAATGCAACTTTGGACCCTCACGGGGCACAGCAGTTCTTAGTACAGAATAATCACACAGCTTTAACAATCGAGTATTAGGCAATTAGGTGTCTCGGTCTTAATTATAAAGGTGCTGCTCCAGCATATCACTCAAGGGCACGCACATGATTCTTCTTGAATTGTTTGCATGTCTTCCTGTATCCTGTGCAACCTGCAGGAAGAGGGGTTTTTTTTATACTTAGGAGACTTTTCTGACAGAAAACCCGGAGTTAAAGCATTTATTTTGGGGGAGAGAAATAAACAAAAGTAGTCATTTGGACAAATGACTGTGAATGTAATGTGAAAAATGTGATGGGATAAAATGATTGGAAAAATCTTGTGTGCAAAAATTATTTGCTAATACTAAAAAAAGCTGTTGCAGTTTCAGTATGTTAGCTGAAAAAAAAAAGCCCCAAAACCAAACAGTACCCTGACAGTTGCGTTCTAAATACATATTCTTGGCAGAAATGGATAATTTTTTAGAGAAACATAATCCAATTGTTATTATGAAGTCTCATTTTGGTTAACAATTTACAGTGGTAAAATTGCATTTTATGTATATAGAACCATAATATTAAAGTTTGCATCTAATGGGGTGAATCTTTCACATGGCAAATGCTTACTCTGCCTAAAGGGTGAAGCAAGAGAGACTGACTTCCCCATTTTTATTTTATGAGGCTTTTGAGAAATAAATGGAAGTGGTTGTGGTTTTTCCAAACTAGTGCAGCTTGTAGTTGCCTATTAGGCAACATAAGGCCGATACGAATAGCCGGATTTTTTTTGAGCCATGAATATTGGGGCACAAAGTTGACAAGCCTTTTGAAATGCTGCTGGTAGTTTTGGAGAATGTATTGAAAGGTTTTAATTGTTTAAAAAATATAGCTGAATTCAAAATCTTGGAGAGTTTGGGTTTTTTTTTAGTTTTCGTGGATTGGGCTTATAAAAGTAGTTTTAAAACTTTCAGCGTTCAGCAACTGTTAAATGCCTCATTCATTCAGATATTAACTTAGAAATGTGAAAATTGAATTTTGAAGAAGACTTTGTAGCTCTGTGTTTATGACTTTTGAAAGTGCTTGGTGGAAAAAAATAAAGACTTGATTTCATATTCGGATTTCTTCTGTGTACCATTATTGACTTGATGAGCTGACAGTCTGTTAGAGGAGTTTCAGTACTTGGGGGATTGCTCCCCAGTGGACAGAAGATGATCAGCTTGTACACTAGTCTCTTCTGTTTGGGTTTGTTCCTCCCTTATCTCTCCCTTTTCCCCACAGTCCACCCCCATTCTTTCATGAGAGAACATGGGAAGAGCTTGTTATGCACCTAAATAGGTAAATGCTGCTATCAGTGCATACAGGAGGCAGCAAATGAACTTGATACACAGGAGGTGGTGTGAGAAGCCCTGGGTGGAGGGGGGGAAATTCAGGCAAAGCAGCTTGCAGTGGGCAAAGGTGCTGAGGATAAGTATAGAAGACGTAGTGGTATCTTGAGGAACGGCTTAGAAAGGGGGATGGAGATGAGGAAAGATAGAAGAGGGCTGTGGGCAGCCTGGAGGGATCTCTGAATGCCTGGTGGTGTGGGAAGAGCAGCTGAGGAAAACTTCAAAGGAATGTATGTTGGGAGAGGAGGAAATGTAGAGCAAAAATTTTTGGCGGGTCTTTGTGGAAACGGAGATTCATAGTGAGGGGGATGAGGGATGATCAGATCCTCCATGGTAGGAGAAGTGTGGGGCTGGAGATTAGGAACCAGGCATGGTAAGAAATAAGAGGGCCACAGTCAAGCCCCACTGAAGCTAAGGTTCTCCCTACAGACAAGTTGCAGGACCAAATGAAGGAAGTGTTAGTCTGTAACATTTTTCTCTTCTGTGATTTTTAAGACTTGAGTTTTAGCTCTAACTTCTGCTAATTTTAGAAAGATACTTGTAAAAAATTTAAATTTTCATCTATCTCCAGACCCTGTGCATTTCAGTTTCTTTTCTCTATTCTTTGTTTTTGTTACCCTACATTTTTTTCTCTTCCCAATATTTGCTTCAGTCTCTTCAGTACTAGTTGTTCATGTTGCAGTAGTACCAAAAATGCCTTCTTTGAAAGGCAAGAAATCTCTTCTCAGGAAAGTTTCTTATACTGATTCAAGTCATTACCCTTGACGTTTTAATTTATTTTGAAAATGTTATTTCTGAGTATTACTTTGTCAATCAGTATTAAAATACGCAAGACCCACGTATCCCAAAAAAGTCACTATGCACCCTTATGGTTTAAAATCAAAGAAAGGGGCTGAAGGGGCCTTCCTCAAATTTTTAAAGCAGCTTGTAATATGAAAATCTCTCTGTAGGAGTCTATTTACTGGGAAAATATGGGCAGAAGAAAATCAGAGAAATCCAAGAACGAGAGGCAGCTGAATACATTGCCCAAGCACGAAGGCAGTATCATTTTGAAAGTAATCAGAGGACGTGCAATATGACAGGTAAGATAAGGGAATAGCTGCTGTTCTTGATAGGGGGAATTGTTTGGGGATTTATAGTACATATTGACAGAGGGGAAGAATAAGAAGAAATGTAGGTGAATTCAAAACCTTAATTAAATACTAGTGCATAAATAGAGTCACTTTGCATAATAAAAACAGAGTCTGAAGAACAGAGGCTCAAAGGGATTTCTAGGGGTCATCTTAACCCTGGGTTTGAATATATCCATCTATAATGCATACAAATATACATACAGGTTACAATTTTTTTGTTACTTCAAGACCCCTTGTGTATTGCCCTAAACTTCATGTGGTACTGAGGTATGAAACAGCACCTATATTCAAACAATACTGAATTTACGGCAGGATTACTTTATTCATTATAGCACTTTGTTAGTAAGATACACAGAGAGCTTGGTGGGTAATTTTTATTTTTTATTATATATAAGAAGCATGTCAGCCCATTAGCCCATTGCATTTTAACAGTGCAAAGGTACCTGACTAGCTGGGGAGCAAAAAGTGAAGGTATTTATATTGCAGCGCTGGTTGTTGGATTTTTGGAGAGGAGATGGTAGGGTAGAGTTTAACGAAAACCTTGTTATTCTTGTAAATACAGGCCATTCAAAACTATTTCTATAAAACAAATTGGGCAGTATTTTTTTCTGCTGTTGAAATTTGTAATAATGGCTTCTTGGGTGGCTGCAAATGCTTTCTGTGCACTGTGTTTACCCTGACATGAAATACCCTGGTATTTCATTTTCATCTTTTCCACCTTGTAGTGCTGGGATTGAGTTTACTGCAAGGACTACATTTTTCTTTGCCCTTTGTTGTACAAGTACCTCCTGTTCCCATCATATAACAGCAGATTGGACATTGAATATTCTGAAAGTAAAGGATTTTTTTCCCCGCAGCTTTCTTTTGTTTAAAATGGACCTTTCTCTGATCCTCTTGTTGGGGAAAAAAACAAATCTCACATCTTTTTCTTCTCATTTGGAGAAGTGCAGCAGTGTAGATTTTCACCAGATTTTCTTCTGGGAAGTTGAAGGCATGTATATGCAGATGTGCAGGATGTGAGTACACATCTGCAGCTAGAGCCAACAAAGACATGTAGCCACGTAAGGGCAGCATTGTGCCCAAGCTCATAAGAAGCACGCAGGTAATTGCACTTCTGAGTACCCCCAGGATTTCCTGTTTTGTTTGTCCTCCCAGCTTTGCCTGTTGAATGATGGGATTTACATTGTATAGCAGCAATTGAGTGAGAGCTGGGGGTAGGTTTATGATGATTTTTTGATGTTAACCCTTTTTTTGGTTTTCTTTTTTTTTCTTTTAATAACAGTGCTGTCAATGCTTCCAACATTGAGGGATGCCTTAATGCATCAATTAAATTCTGAGAGTCTCACATCTCTCCTTAAAAATAGGTAAGACTATTTTGTTAATTGTGTTAAAGATCACTTGTTTTGATCACAAGAGAAGGATTTGGGGTTTTGGGTTTTTTTTTTTTTTTTCAAATTATGTATTTATAATGTAGAGAGCGTGCAGGATTTTGGTTCTGTGTCCCATTGAGTCACTAGTCTTAAAGTATATTGAAATTACTATGTAAATATTTTGTTTCCTGTTAGATGTCTTTTGATAGATATGGCTGGCATTTTCCAAACATTACAAGAAATAATAGTTCCTTTAAGATGCTGTAATGAGAGCCATGGTTTTTGTTGAAGTGCTTAGAAGATAGGCAGATACAGTACTTACAGGATCTAGTCCTCTCTTAAACAGGTCAGAGAGAGTATCTTCACTGAGTTGTTGATGTTGTGTTTGTAAAAATGTTTATGTAATCTTATCAAGGTCAGCTGTGAATAGTAGTGGAAAGTATCAAAGATGAGATTGCAAATGGATGTAAGCTATGAGAAATATTTTTTTTTTCTTTTTGAAGTAGAACAAATAGGGGCATGTCATACATTAAGAGGAATGCCTCCCTGTCAGAAAACACCTTTGGTTTCCTTATAACTGCAGGAACAAATAGCATATTTTTAAATGCATAAAGTGCATAATAGCACACCTTAAGTAGAGTAAGCTGCTTGGCATTTGGCACAGAGTAAAAGTGTTATGTAGGCAGTTAACACAGGGTTTTTGACTCACTCTAGACTGCCTTTCTAGTTTACCTCCCACTAGCTTATTTATATAGCTGTAACTTTTGCTGACCAGTGTTTAATAGATTACCTATCCAGTCATTGTCATCTTTCAGTCAAAAAATTCCCACAACAAGGCAAGAGAATGTGATATTTGAAGTGGGAATTACAGCCTGAACGATATTTTTATAACAGATTATCTGTGAATTTATAACTGTAATTGCATATTATTTACCCCAAACAATAAGAAATTAGGAAAAGTTAATTTTAGTGGAATATTTAATATATATGTCATAATAAGAGTTTTACTCAGTGAAAATTTAACCTGAATGAACAAGAGATCTTGTGGATCACCATATTTGTCTTCTGGACTGTGCAGCAAAATAGTCTCCAAATGCCTGTAATCCTTTGTTCAATGGTGAAGACATATAACGCCTTAGTTTGTTCTCTGTAGCATGCATTCTTTTATCAAAATGTATCTGGTGTCCCTAACTTGTTTGACTAGTTGAAAGAGTTTACAGGTATGGTGGCACACTTCTGAATTCCAGTAATCCCAGTGAAAATAGAGATGAGACTTTCTGGTACTACTGTTACGCATTTCTGAAAATAAATAGTTTTTAAAATGCTGGTTACATGCAATATCCTGTAAGCGTGGATGTCCATTTAGAGTGTATCCTACAGTGGAGTTTGTGTCTTAATGCCTCCTTTTTAGACTTATGCTGAGGAATTTTTAACTAGATGCTTGAACTCTTTGAACTGAAAAGGTAGAGAAGGGGTTGGAAAGGCACAGATCATGGAATGAGCTGTCAGGGCTCATTCCGCTTTGAAGTGAGTCTTTGAAGAAGCTCTGCATTCTTGTGCTATGCATGGAGGTATAGATTTTTCTTTCCGCTTCCATTTGCAAAGAGTTATCAAACGGCTCCGGACCTTTGAGTACCGTTGTTGTTGAATATACAAAAGAGTAGATGTGGAGATTTACCTTTCTAAAAGTCCCTGAAGATGTAGTCTTTTTCTCCCATCATCTGTATTGTGGCTTAACGTGTTACGGATCTATGTTATCATATGTTACAGACCATGTTACGGCTTAGGTAAACTCCTTTAACTTAAAATCCATTCACTTAAATTTGAAACCTTTTTACATTGTTTTAGTAATTTGGGGTAGCCAGTGGTAGGTTAGGGGTGTGAGCAGGCTGAGTCTTCAGCCTTCCAGAAAAACTTTTAAAGAGGGAGCGGCACGCAAGACCACAGACGTTCTTGCTCTGTCCTCCTCTTTTCAAAGACAATGTGATTGAATGAGATGAGGTGAAGTACCTGCTGCTGTAGCCTTGCAGGTGTTGTGTACCTCCCTCCTATTCAGCA